GCTCTAACATTTTCATTGCGGGTTCTCAATGTCTTTCGTAATTTGGCCTTATACGATTCTCTATTTTCATTCGTTCCTACCAGCTCCCTTCTCAAGATTGCTATCAACTGTTCATACGGCAAGTTGGGAACAAGGAACCTCTCTACAGCCATCATTACCTCATCCCCCATGCAGTTTATCAATATATGAGGTATTTCATCGGGTCTCGCTCCTATCGAGTTTACATAGCTCTGGAAACGACGAAGGTAAAGGTCTAAATCATTCTCGTGACGCAACTGTGGAGGTGCTCTTAGAAACTGTACTGGTGCTTGCTGTGCTAAAAGAGCTCTCGGTGGCACTGGTGGTGCCACTCCAGCATCCACGATTGGAATATCTTCATCTTGCTCTGCCAACTGTGGGTCTCGAACAACATCGGCCATGGTGGAAACTAAATGATATTTCTCTAATTATTGAAAGAACTAATTTCATGTACTTTGTCATCAACTTGAACTAAAGTGAGCTTGAACTGTTAAATTTGGATTGTCTTCTAGTCCTACTTTCAATGAGGGACACGATTAATTCTCTGTGCGCTTTATACAAATTGTAATAATTTTATACTGCAGTAAAAGTTATGGCCCCTTCATGCAACAATATTTCTTTTTGAAAAAAAATTACTTGTAAAAATAGTTTATCTCTACTACGAAAAGCTAAAGTGAACTTTGTAGGTGTACTTAATTCTATTTTCAAAAATAAAAACTGTAGTGTGGTTGATCCCCCCTTAGTTTTCTCTTAAAGTGCGATAAATAGTTCGATCGCACATACCGGTATTGGAAAGATGGCCAGAATGGCCTGTTTAAATGCCGAGGGTAATGTGCTTCCAAATGTTCTCCCACGGCTCTCATGGCCTTGATCTCGAATTTCAACCTCATTTTCTCCTCAAAAGTTAGCTCCTCATAAACACCCGTCCTTATTTTCAAAGTTTTATGGTACATGTACGCTGACAGCCTCCCCAGCGACATTCTCACAGCCTTCCGTTTTAACGTTAATGTCAATACCGGCCAAAAGTCCTCACTAAATACCAATCCCCTCAATTTCTCCTCTTTTAACAATTCTGCCACCTTCCCCAAATACCGGTACTCTACCCCATTTTGCGACCTGTCTAAACACCCAAAAAAAACCGCCCGTTTCCACACCTTACTGGTCTTTCTCAGCTCAGAACAGTCTTCTATCAACGCGGCGATCATTGTGAAAACATTTAGGTAGCGGGCTTGATTCCATCTAGGTTCTGGTACGTCATCTGTAAAGGACTTATATAATATATAACTACTTATTAGGACACCTATTATAAGACAGACCAAGGAACTAAATAAATTTTCATAGGTACATCTTTCTTTCTAATGGTACTGTTGTATAATTCACTGTAAATATTTGCTATTTTAATGCTAATGTGTTTAACTTATTCAGTTATTCTACTTATCCGAATTACCATCATACTAATTCCTCATCATTCACTTTAAATTCCTGAATTCTTCAAATTCTCCCGTGAAATTTAATGAATACTCCTTTAATAAAAGTTTATTCTTACTTATTCAAAACTTACCCTTAACATTAGTCTGAATTACACAAGTTAACTTAATTACAAACCGCCCCTCGGTATTGTATCCCTAATTTCCATGACGTTCAGATGAATATCATGAAGTAACCAAGCTGAGCAAATATCCAGTGACACACAGCGCTTGTTATGACACTTACGGCTTTATGCTAGACAATGGTTATCCATCTCACTATTCACTGACACATGGCCCCCTTATCCTTATAAAATTGACTTCAATTATCTGCCGGCAGATGATATTCCTTATCAAGTTAACTTCTTTAAATATCGATTAATTTCTCGCGTACGATATTTTGACGCTTACAAAAGTAACGTTTGTTATCCTCATTATCCATAACTATCTCTTAACTGTCCTAGTTATAATCAATCAATGTATCCAAAATTAACTTACAATACACAAACAAACCACTGTACACTTTCTTATTTAAATTACTTTACTACTCACATCCTGCGAAACCCCTGTTCATTTTAGTCCTCGGTCTGAATAAAAATAAAAATGGTTAGAATAAATTGAGTCTGACGTCGCTTTTCTCCTATTTCTCCTAATGAACTGGATTAAATTAGCAACAAACCTATAATTAATTGCAAATTAAATAACTGGAACGTCGGAGCTAAATTATAAAATGACAAAAACTGATTTAAGAAATAAATCTGTATCAACCCACTTTCTGATTTTTTCAAATTTTGGCAAAAATTTTAAGAGCCCAACGCATCGCTGCTCCAATGTTATTAACCACGGTACCAATTTAATCAGGTGTTAGTTGCAAGTACCGGGTAATAATCACCTCTCCCATGTCCATGGTATGTAGTACTTTATTTCCTCCAAGAAATTATTTATTTAGAGCTCCTTTTGACTTGGCTAGAACTATACATGGGAGGCCCCGGTTATATCAAGAGAGTCCGTTTCGGAAGGTTCTGAACCCACGATTGAGCGTCTTAAAACTTTTGTTTTATGGAAATTATAGTTTTGCTAGAATTCAGAGTTTCATGTTACTTCTTATTTAATTTAGTGCGGTTAATGATTATAATTCAGACTTTCAATTTTGGTGGGTTGACACAAATTGAAACGACAATATAGAACAAAATATAGAACAACTAATGGTAGTATAATTAATGAGCGAAAACCTTCTTAAATTGAAAGATGTTTCTATAACAATGGAAGTAACCTTTTGATACTATACTAATTAATTGACACGGTAGAAATTCTTCTCATAACCTATTTAAAGGAACTCTAAGTCTATGTTGGTGCAATCACCTTTTGATAAGTCTCTCTCTGAGAAATAGTGTAGGAGGGCTGGAATATCACGCGTCTTTGACTGAGTCTCACCGTCAACAGTTTGACTGTCACGAATGGTCTGAAAGCAATATCTTTTAACTATGGCAATAGAAACAATTTATTACGTAACCAACGGGAAACTACTTTAATCCTGCACTCGTAAACATTAATATAAAAGAAATATCAATTCTTACAGCTCTATCAACCAATACTTAATGAACTTAATTATTAAGACAACTACTATTTTATGCTGACGTTATAACTGAACTAATTACCTCGGTTGACGAAGGAGAATCAATTATTCTAGCAGGTATCGGCAAAGGCAGCACGGTTTGAGCAGGAATGTTCGTGTCTCTCTACCTGGGAACGGAAACGTAATTTTGTACAAAGTATATAATTTTGAGAGCACAGAACTACGATTACCAAAGATATTCTTAAACCTATTTATGTAAAAACTAATGGAAAAGGAATTTACCTCGAGAACAACTTCAATCCGTATAATGGTCCTTCAAGTGAGAAGGAGATCGGGAATCTTATCGTCGTTAGCTTACTTTTACCCGGAAACCTTGGATAAAAAGTAATCAAAGAATCATGCAAATTACTCTTACGAGGATTTAAGATGGCAGAACGTTAGACAATTATGAAGGATAATTTATTTATGATAAATGGAATATTAATTATTTGGAGGAGGTATTATATGTATCTTCTGCTAATCAAGTTGCACTTACTTACTAGTCACTGTTCTTTAATGTACGGGGGAATCTATTCGATGTGACGGATCGGATCCACTGCAACCTGGTAAGAATTTACTTTTAGTGTACTGCATAGAATTTATATGCCTAGAGGGTACGTGAATAAACACTAGAAACATTGTAAATATAACTTTCACGTCAGACTCTTTTAATAAGAAACAAAATACTAATTTAAACGGCGAACAGTAATTTAAAGCAAGGAACTTACTGGAATACTTATGACTGGAAAGGTTAAAGCACCCGGGCGGAACCGGCTTACTGGACTCTGTTTACAAGCACGTTGCACTGACACAACCTAACAGACTGCCCTGACGTGAGAAAGACATCGGTCCTTCGATCGTTCTCCGCTATATCTCCCTGAATTTCCCAGAGTCTATTCTGCCGTTCCAGCCTTTTCTCAGGGAACGCAGTATTGTTCATCACGATCGAAATTGCTCCTCCTTGTTTAAACTCCCTGCTTATCATTCCTCGTCACGCTTCGTCTTGTGATAGGCTGGTCTTGTGCTCCTAATTAACCCCTCCATAAGTCCGTGGTAACTCATCAAGCGTGTCAAATGATTTGATAGTTTTCTCACAGAAAGTGTCCTTTTGTTAATTAAACGTCAACGTATATTCCATTTCTGGTATACTTCTATCGTTAACAAATTTACTATCTATCCTCTATGGAAATGGTTGTTAACTATAAGCCTAAGTCATTTAACTATCTTTAAAGGAAGATTGAAATTAATATAGAATTTCGAGGTTCCTTACACCCCCCCCCCCCCCCCTTTCCACTTCCCCCCCCCCCTTCCTTCTGCTTTCTTTTGCAGCTGAACTATGAACTCTTAGCTCTCTCGCCTACCCAGAAAACCTTACCGCCTGCTGGGCTTGCTAGAGGTTATAGATTTTCAACAGCACGTTGGGCGTCGCGCGTCACATCGAGTTTACCTTTCACACGCTGCATTTAGTTTAGTAGTCATGACAACGACATGACTTTGCAAAGTTTAAAAGCTGCAATCTTTAATTTAGCCAAAAATCAAACTTTTTGGTTTAATTCAGAATCTAAATTGTCCCCAATTGTCCTCCTGGGGAGGCTCCTTTAAATTTACGAGACGGACATTTTGTTGAAAACCGGAAGGTTCTATCTATTTTACTTTTGGAGATATACCCCAGCCGGTAGGGTTTCCTGGGCCGAACCTAACGCGCGTATAAAAGAATTTTTTGCTCTTTTAAAAAAGGCACTTGACAAACCCTAACTCCCCCACCCAAAAAC